CGCTTGGTTGGGTGTGGGGGTAGCAGTCCAGGATTGCCAGGTACTGATCGGAGGAGGCGGCTTGATTATGTTCGGTAAGAGATTCAGTTCTTTCCAGGTACAGTTGCACGTGTAGGCCTGCATTGGTCATGGTCGAGGGGGCGCTGGACCTTGACACGTTGACGGAGAGAGGCTGAATGTCCCCGAAGTCTTTAAAGTAGGAGGGGTGGGATGCCAATAGCCCGGAGAGGCAGGGAGATTCTTTGCTGGGAGGTACTGTCCAAGCAAACAATGTTTGATCATTCGTACCTGTTATATTAGATAGGTATTGATCAGTGTCAGTTCATCTGGTTCCACTGCGTCCCAGCTCAACTTACTCTCGAGGATTTCCTCCTGCAATCGCATAAACGACCTGGTGCCCTCGCCATATAATAGGGGCATATTGACATTGAAGATACCCATCAGGCAGTACGCCACGTCCTCTGTTCTCGTCGTCTGTCTATTGGCGGCCCATTTCATCTTGCTGGCGACGCTGACGTCTTCGAGAGCAGCTGGCCGGGTGAGGATAGCTGTATCCACACCTGTGACCCGGTTGAGAAAGGCAGGGTCGACGAAGTTGCGACGCCAGATCTCAGGATGCTTATCTGCGAGGCCTTTGCTGTTGGGACCTAGTTTGCTCCCGATGATCCCCCAACCTTGATCGTAGAACCATACATCTGACGGCGCGAGAAGTTCTTGAAGAGTCCATCCCCTCGTGAACCACCGACTGCTGGAGATGTTTTGGCCTTCTGACTCGGCTGGCACATCGACAAGATAAGCATAGCAGATGGTGGCCTCGCGATACCACCGGAACATGCTGTTGATGGCCTCAGACAGCTCGGCGCTGGATGTCTTGTCGATGCAGCAGGTATCGATCCAGATAAAGTTGTATCCTGAAGACAGGGCAAGTTTGGCCGAATCGCGGATTTTGGCGAACCCCTTTTTCTTGGTGACCCTATGAGCAAATTTGCTTCCGTCGTTGAGTCGAAACCGACTCGCGGAGAGCTCCAGAATGTCCTGGTACGTGACTTCATCGTCGTCACCTCCCCATGTATGTGACAAGATGGCATAAGGGGGGATCTCTCCCTCGCGCTTGCTGACGAGTCGGAGAGTCGAGGTCTCGAGTAGCCTCATTTTTTTCTGGGTTTTTGTTCATTGTGAATGAACTCGGGAGAGGGGTTTCTCTCGAGCTAGCGAATGGCCACTTGACGATGTCGGGGTGGATTGGCTGCTGCACTTTGCCGCACCAACCACCAATTGGCGGTTGAGGCACAGCGGGGCTCATAGGCTGTCTCAACCGGTGGACGGAAGACTCTTGAGATATCAGGTTAGGAGTCTTGAAAGAAACACACAATCACTGTCCATCTTCCAACTGCGGCAAATCTGAATTGTGATTCTATATATCTCTCCGTCTGGTATTATTCTTGTGCTCTACTACACGGGTATCTTATATCGTATCCTGTACCCAACCCTGAGTTGAAATCTTCTTGGTTAGGTATCCTCCTGAGATCCATTTGGTAATTGACCCCCCAACTCCTCGCTATAACAAGAAGCAATGCATGCAGATCATTATTCCTCTTCCACAAATGCCCCTGGAATCCGTAGCTTCTCGTTACCACTGGCCGATCCCGTTTTCTCGGCAGTATCTTTTTGGTTCGACCCGCTGACCATCTTCTGAGAGTCATCATCCTTCTTCTCAACTGCCATAGGCACGCTCCTCGCCCTCGAAGGAACATCTGAGCTGAACCGGCCCACCTTGTCCGCCCCCTTTGGCTTGTTACCACCTCTAGGCAGGGACAACGACCGCGAAGGTTTGCCCTCACTGCTGGCCCTGCTGGCCCTGTCCTTATCAACCCAGGGAAGACTCAGGCCCTCCATTAGACTCGTCTTGCCGCCCTCTTCTTCCTCTTTCTCCTTTTCCTTCTTCTTGGCAATCTTCTTCATCATCTCAGCCGTCATCTCCTGCCGCATCAGTCTTTCCAGCACATCCTTCTTACGCGTCCTCCTGTCACCAACGGAAATTAACACTCCCGCCAGGAGGTTGGTGAAGATGGAGCAGCAGAGGATGGTGGTGGTGGCTGCCGCCGGTCTTCTTTCGTAGGGGATACCGAACGTCACGGCACCAAGAGACACCTGGAGACAACTGTGCAGATCCAACAGGAGCACAACGGTGATGAGCAATCGCAGTGGGAAGGCATGGTGGGTTTCGGTCTCGTGGGGTTTGTAGAATGTGTGGGATTTGGCCAGTTTCGTTTGGTGGTGGATCAGACTCTTTTGCTCCTTTTCTGTGAGAACCGGGATAAATTCGTCCTTTGTGTTTTTGAGCTCCTCTTCCTTTGCCGCCAGTTGTTGAGCCTCGAGGTCCGCCATAGAGCCAAGTGGGTTATGGTGGCCAGTGGGCAGATCGTTGTGGTCGCGGAGGTCTGGAAGAAGCAGCTTTTTGCGTTCTTTCCACGTCTTGCGATCTGTGCCCTGTTAGCTACGGGGGACTAGTCTCCAGAGCAGAGCAGAGTTGAAAAAAGAACTTACGATATCGCGCCACGAAAAACATGTGGTAAGTGTCGACCGCCCTCCAGGGGATCATACCGTCACCAACAACGGCAAAGAGAGCCACGAGGACGTAGTCGATAACATTAATGACATACAGCTGCTTCTCGCCGACGTAGATCCACCCGATCAAGAACAACACCCAGGCCAGACCGAACAGCGTAATGAGCGTGGCATATAGCGTGACAAGAAAGCCCACCGGTCGTCTTGCGTACTTCCCAAAGGCCTTTAGTCGCTGCTTGAGCTTGGATCGACGGGAGTGCAGCATGTGGCGGACGTAGTCGTTGAGCAGCTTGATCTCTTCTTCATTCCAACCTTCGAGGGAAGCATCATTGGGCAGAATGGCATATTGCGGTTGCGAGGTCAGAACAGACGACAAGCTGGGTGATCGTTGCATGTGCGGTCCCTCTTTTTTAACTTCGTCGGCCGCTGTCGCAATACTTTCTTTCGATGGAGGAAAAGCTCCTGGCATGGGAGGTAGTTGAGACAGATCATAGGTCGGTCGGCGGTTGACCCATTTGCCCAAGGACGGCAGGAAAAGGGAGTTCTGGATGTTGGTGATGGACGAGAGCGTGGCGACTTCGGGATCTGTATGATCTGCTGTTAGCTCCATTTATTCGCGTGATCTATTAGGAGAGGGAAAACGTACCAACAACATCCAGAAAATCGACAATCCTTTCATCGTAGAGATCCTGCTGCTCGTCCCGCGCTTGCTGCTGCAGATCCGTGACCGTCTGTCGCCGCCTTCCCAGCCGACGGAACCTACTCTGTACTGCAGGCGGGACTTGGCCTTCGAGATCTGCGGGTACCGCATCGTTCCCCTCCGACACAGCCGGCAATCCCGAAGCCGTACCGGAAGAAGCGGGAACGGTCCCAGCTGCCCTTGGTACCCACGGGCGTTGTGGCTCTGAGCTTGAGCGCCGTCTCCCCGTCATGGCGGTGTTGTTTTGTCCCTGTCCCTGTCCCTGTCTCTGTCCAAAGTCCTGCGCCTGTGTCTGTGTTCGGGCTCGGGCAAGAGGCTCATGGCTCAGTTCGGGCGCCAGACTGACTCCTAGCGAGGAGGGGACGGGCCGCAGACGGCGAATGCGGATGGCGGATGTGTTTCGGTCGAGCGGTCGGAACTGCACGTTGCGAGCTGGAGTAGCAGCCGGTTGTTGCGGTTGCTGCTGCTGCTGTGGTAGCTGTGTTGAACTCGGAGTGACGGCAACAGTTTGTTCGAGGGGGACAGGCGGGGGAAGTTCGGTCAGTGGTGTAAGTGGCGTCGATTTTGGAAGGTCAGATGCAGTAGCGGTTGCGCTCGACTGTTGCACCGGTCCCGGTTGTACCCCAAAATAAGCCCCGCCATCGTCGACGTTATTGTTGAGGGTGGTCGTTGTCGTCGTCGTTGTCGAGGGGTTCGGATCTGGTGGATTCTGTTGCATTTTGGAATCCATCTCTACCTACACTCTGACAAGCACACCGTACCGCTGCGACCTCAATTAAAAAAATGAAGTCGCATGGTATGGACTTCTTGGTGTTTTCTTCCCCTTTATTATGATGGGACGGTTGTCCCGCTAGTCCTGCCGTGCCTCGTCTGCAAACAAGGTCGACTTTGGCTGGCAGGGGGAAATGACGTCACCGTTGTCAACATCGGATGCCGTCATTGGGACAACGGACCGTCCGCGCCAATGGACGCGATCGGATAAAAATACAATGGGCCTTGGCGTCATTTGCTGCGGCTGAAGAAGCATTGATGCCAATCATTCTTTTTAGCTGACAAAAAAGCATGTTTTGCAGGAACACCAGCAAAAACAAAGATATCGATGAGAGAACTCCCACGACATTTAAAAGGTGTTGCGCCAGCCGCGAATCGAACGCGGGGCCCATCGATGGCAACGATCGATTTTACCACTAACCCACTGGCGCCGGGTGAGCTGCGGGTGCAGATGTTGAGTATAAAATTTCGACAAGCCAGGCTGGAAGATGCAGAAGAGTTGACAACCGCTGCCATCCATGCCGTTAATGGACTGGCAAGAGGTTACTTCATTTCTAAGCAACAATATTAGATACACAAGGAAAGTAAGTACCTAGTAGTTACAAGAATAGCTTACCCAGAGATTTTAGGACATTCAGTTAACTTGGATCAGGGTATTCGACAGCTTCTTTCGGACTCTGGGATGTTGTCTTGCATCAGGTACGGCCCTAGCGGAGAGTACCGGCTGAGAACCAGCATCGGGGCCCTTATCCGAACTTTGGTTGATATGGAGTTCAGTCCCAGACTCCAGAGATTGGAGATAACATTAAGACGGCCGGATTAACCGCCTCCGAGTCAGACTCCACCACCCTTCACACAATTTTCAGTTTTTGCAAAAGGCGAGCCCCATTACCCATATAGACTTATTTCCTTTGCCTCTACCTAACAACTCATCCCTGTCGGAAACCAAACACGAGTTAAATCGGGTATGGTGTAGCGGTAACATCGCTGACTCTCAAGGTCTCTCTCTTTGGAGAGAGATCCAAAGTCCTCAGCAGCCCGGGGTTCGACTCCCCGTATCCGAGTCAGTCCTTTTCTATCTTTACCCATCCGGTATAGTGTAACGGTCAACATACCTCGTTTTCACCGAGGAGCTCGGGGTTCGATTCCCCGTACCGGAGTCTGTCAGAGCTAAAGAAGGCACAACGGGGTCTCATCTAGCTGAGAAATCAGTTGGAGAGTGCTCATCTTTTTATGTGTTGTTTTATGGGAGACTCAGGGGTTAGGGGTAAGAACAATACAGCAGAGTCTGTTGGAGTCGAAGAAGACATAAAAGGGGTCCCTCTAGCTGAGAACCTGGAAATCAGTTGGAGGGGTGTTCATCTTTTTGGTTTTTTGTCTGTTGCTGTGTTTATGGGAGACTCAGGGGTTAGGAGGTCAGGGGTAACAACAACAGCATCGTCAAATTCTTTTTTCATTGTCTGGTCTTTAGGAAGTGACGATACTGGTGTTTTTCCGCCTATCACATGCCGGGGAATTTAATAGGTTGAGTTAAAGCCACAACACCACAACGCCACACCTTCGAGCGCAGCAAGGCCCGGGGGTTTGGGGGCTTGGCCCCATGAACAAACAACGCCAGACCAAATTCACAATGCAAAAAGGGTAACTGCTATTAGTGAGAGAAGAGACTCGAGATGTTTGACATGGATGGGAACGGGATTGCAACCAACCCACGTCATCGCCGCCGGAGCAATTACGCGGAGGGGTCTTCACCATCAACATGTGATTGCAGCCTTCATCAAGGGACAAACCAGAATCTGTCTGAACTTTGGCTTTATAAGACGGGAAGGAGTTTCTTGCGCACGACATCCGATGCTGCTTGGTGGCACAAAATAAAAGGGCAAACGTTCAGGATTTTAAGGAGAAGCAGGACCCACATCCTGGAGGACTCCTAAGATAAGAAATGAAAGATGTGCCTGAAAAAGAAAAAGAAGCTGAAGAACAGGAAAATGCTCTGCATAAATATATTCCTGCCCAATTACGAGAACGAACAAAAGTTCTTGGATGGCTGCATGCACTGCACTCAAGACAAATACCGTAAATGCCAAGTCTGGGCGATAGAGAACAGACGGAGACAGACAGACAGTGGTCGGTTTCATGACAAGTCATGGGTGTTTTATGCTTATCCTTGCGTTGCTACGGGGGGTTGAGACGACAAAGCCCAAAACGCACTGACGTGGGATTCTCAGGGGCTTTCTCGTTGCCTTTCTGGGGTGCTGTGTACCACCTGCCAAGAGCCCTTCACCCTGGTTCGTCTGAGAAGCTGGATCTGGACTCGAAAGTCTTTTGGGACTCGATAACCTCGGATTATGGTCAGCAGTGAGCGAACAGAACAGGGAACAGAGATATCTCAACGAGGTGGTACAGTACAAGTCATTGAGGCTGACATAGGAAGAGCAAATAGAAGACCAAGATTTGTCCAGGTTCGCTCCTGTAGGTATTTTCTTGGTGACAAGAACCCTACGAGGACTCAATGTAACTCTATCATCAATATCGTATGATGGGATCTAGATAAGTTCCAGCATCGTGATAATGGCAGGGTCAGCTTGTCGTCGGGCTCGGGACGCAGTGGGGCAGCACTCCCGGTTGACTGCAGCTCCGAGTCTCGGGAGTCTCAGACATCGGACAGGGCAGCCAGGGTGTTGTTGTCTGCAATGGTGAGCCTCACTCGAAAGTGGTGATTGACATTGTTCGATGGCAGCAGTTTACACTCAAAATTCCACGCCGCAAGGTTGCATCGGCTGTTCAATCTTTTGAGGGGGAACTCAAGCTGTTCTGATAGAGGACAGGAATGTGACAATTTCAAGAGAGAAAGACAGAACACAACCGCAGCAAAGAGGTTGCACCAAGGACGAGCGTAGAGACGGAAAAACTGCATATTCGTAAACAAACAATTCATCTCATCATGTCATGATCGGAGGATGCGCGCTGTAATGATCCTCTGCGGGATGTGTGATCGCCACAACACGAACCGGGAACGCAGAACAAGAGAGATATTAGAAGCTGTCAGCCCGGAAAGAAAGAAGACATCCCGGATCCCCCGTTCGACGTTCGTACAGTGTAGAAGCCAAGCAACCAAGGCTCATCCCAAGAGCCCGCAAGACTTTTTTTGCAACTCTGGCGCTGCAAACAGGTGCAAAGCGAGTCCTGCCTAGAAATGGCTTGTGGACCTTTACAGAGCCGAATCTTCCGTTGATGACTTTTTGATCACAATTCCCCCCAAAAAGGGAAACAAATTCTTGAAACAGCTTCCCGGAGTGTCGAGGTTCCAGGCTCCTCCAATGTCGCGTCCCCTGCGTCGCTGCGACGTCACAAAGTCTGGGGCACAGACGAACCCTGAAAGAGGTCTAGCGCGGGGGAGCAGGGAGAAAAAACAACCTCCACTGGAACCCCCACTAAAATTTCCCAGCAGGTCGTCCACTGGAGGCGGTCGCTGGAAGACAGACCTGCAGTGAAGAGGAGATGGAAATGTTCCGCATTTCACAACGTCGGGCAATCATTCACACCGACGACAGCTTAGATACATCCTTCCAGGCTCTTTCATCCTTCCTCCACTCGGCATGTCCCGCGCCGAGTCCTCTCACAATGCAGGCAGGGCCCTGAGATCTTTCTTCTCGGTGATGCAGTTCCGGGGAGAGCAGTGGTTCGAGATGGCTGACATCGAACTTCATGTCAATGGCTTCATGTCTGCTCATCTGATGTCAATTGATGTCAAGTTCCCAGTCGTGAACCTCTGGGCTGTTCAGGTTTACAGCCATGAACCTTTCTTTCTTTTGCCTTCCCACCCATCCATCCTATTTGTTTAGATATTCCCAGACAACCCCTGATGGCGTAAACGTAAACTCGAGATGTCAAGTCGCATCGTAGCGACTGTGTGCCAACCCCTGTAGCCCGCCCTCGACTCCTTGTGCTGCTGCTGCTTCGCCTTTCTCTTCATCTATCCCCCTGGTTCACTCCCATCCCAAGCTCCCCGTCTCCCAAGCCGGTGGTGCCCCGGTTCGACGTCTGGCCAAGCTGGCAAGGTGCCGGGGTAAGGTATGCCTGTGTGCCAAGTCGGACGAGGAAACATCACCACTTTGTTAAAACTGGCTTGGATCTCCTGGCTCGATGCTGCACTGATCGACCAGGCGTTTCTTTCTCCGTCCCTCTCTTCCCATCATCCATACCTCCTTCTCCCTTCTTCCCGTCTCGTCCGTTCTTTTCTCTTCTTTTCCCTCTCTTCAACCATCGCCAAGTCCCTCCATTCACCAGTCCATCCCAGTGAGTGTGTGTGTGTGTGAGATGTGTTGAAGCGGTGTTTGTTGTAGTCATTCTTTTTTTCTATTCTCTCGGAGCAGGATACTCACGTTATTACTTATTTTCTCGATCAACGATCACCATCTTCTGCTTCATTGGAGCGCCAGCCGTTCATTTTTCCAGCAACATATTGAAGCCGTTACATACTTTTATCAACCTTTTTGTGTTTATTTTCTAGTCATTATCAACGAACGGTTATCATCATCATCATCAGCAGCAGCAGCAGCAGCAGCAATATGGGCTTCTTCAAAGCCCTCCCGGTGGGCTTGGCCCTATTGGTATCTTTCGCAGCAGCCTCTCCCCCAGCGGCAGCTCAACCTGAGACCGTGACAGAAACCGTCATGCACACAGTCAAGGAGACTGTTCACGTCACTCAGACCGTCGTCCACACATCGACACTCCTCCAGCACGTCCCAGTCCCGACGACAGTACACGTATCCGTCCCAGTACATGTGACGGTGCCAACAACAGTTCACGTAACGGTTCCGACGACGGTGAGGGAAACTTCGGTGGTTCATCAGACGGTCACATCCACGGCCCATATGACAGTCACTCAGTCAGTCTCCGTACATGTGACGGTCCCCACGACAGTTCACGTCACTGTTCCGACCACAATCCACGTAACGGCTGCTCCAGTTACCGTCACAGCCACATCGACCGTTGTGCACACGAGAACCGAGACGAGGGCGGTGACGCAGATCCAGACTCAGGAGAAGCCCGTTACCATTGCTGTCACCCGCACGGAAGTCAGCGAGAAACTCCTCACCAGAACCGCCGTGCAAACCGTCACCAGCGTCCATGTCAGCGAGAGGGTTGTAACCCATACCGCGGTTGTCAGCGTTCCCGTCACGCACACCGTATCTGTGTCTGTTGTCCGCACCGAAACTCGCGCAGTCACCCAGGTCCAGACTCATACCGTCAGTGTGCCAGTCACCAGAACCGAGACGAGAGCCGTGACCGAGACCAGGGCCGTTACGCATATCCAGACGCACACCGTGAGCGTTCCCGTTACGAGGACAGAGACGAGGGCAGTCACCCAGGTTTTGAGCGTGCCCGTCACCAGAACCGAAACCAGAGCAGTCACTCAGGTGCAAACGAACACTGTCAGTGTGGCAGTAACGAGGACCGAGACCAGGGCTGTGACGGAAACCAGAGCTGTGACAGAGACCAGAGCCGTCACCCACGTTGTCAGTGTCAGCGTGCCAGTGACTCGGGTCCAGACCCAGGTCAGCGAGCGCCTGGTGACTTCGGTTGTCAGGGAGACCGTCAGCGTGCCAGTCACGCAGGTCAGCGACAGACTCGTCACCTCTGTCCACGTCAGTGAAAGGGTTGTGACCCAGACCATCCCCGTCCACGTCACCCAGACTGTGCCGGTCCATGTCACTCAAACCGTGCCTGTTCACGTCCCCGTCACCGAGGTCAAGACGGAAGTCAGACACCAGACCGTTGTGCACACCGTCACGCAGGTTCAGCATGTTACGGTCGCCCAGCCTGTGCAGGCTCACCCCGTGACGGTCACTTCCGTCCATACCGTCCCAGTCCACGTCACGGTCACCCCGTCTGAGTGCCTCGGCCAAGCCAGTTCCGTGGCACCGGTGGCTACTGCTCCCGCGGCAGCTCATCCCCCACCAGCAGCCGCTCACCCACCGCCGGCAGCAGCCCACCCGGCACCTGTTGTGCCTCCCGTTGTCCACGCGCCCGTGGCCCACCCGCTGCCGGTGGTCCTTGT